ATATAAGTGAATAGTTCGCCTTGGAACAGGAAAAAATCCAATGTGCTTTCTGTTACCTTCTTTGCGGTAAAAATATCTTTTTAGGCAAAACAAAAATAGACTTGGTTAAGGTTTGTCTTTTTTTTTTCATTTCGAACATGTTAATACTATCTCTGAGTCTAGTTTGCGTAATATTTGTCTTAAGGATATGCTTATTTAATACAATAATAACATATTTCGTGTTTCGACACTTTTAGATCTTTATGCAGGGGGGATCCTTTAAGTTTGAAGCTGAAATGGAACATACTACGCACAAACTCACAGTAGAACTTTGACATATCGACGGCTACCATACCTATGAATCCTACTGTTGCCTTTTGCACTTCGAGTGCATACACCCCGACTCATTAAAGGATACGATTCTTTTTTGGAAGATTCAAAGGCCAACGGCCTAGAATTCAGGACGTCGTACACCGAACTGGTCTAATGCCTTGTTTCAGTTGTTTACTCATTTTTTAGTCCAGCCAAAACGGACATTGACATACAAATTGTATTTCTGCTTTCTCTGTTTTGGTCAAACGATACTCATTGCTGCTAACGTTAATTTGCTCAAATATTATGAAACTGAACCTGTTCAACATGGCATGCACGTTGCGACACGAAATTTATACAAATCTAATAATTAAATTGGCACAAAGTTAGAGACTATTTGCTTGTTGGCGCGTGGGAGTTATGGCTTGACTTCTATATTTTTCTCCAATTTGGTTTTTGGAAACCGTCAATCAATACCAATATGTCTGCAACAGCATTCTACGCTGCCGTACCGCTCATCGAGTTCATTCGTCCAGAAAATTTTGTCCCATCGACAACAAGCTATTTTCAATGCTCCACTGCATAAGATGAAGCATTTGTAATTGGTGAAAGAGATCCACCTGCTGAAAATGAGCCATTTAGACACTGAACGGTGACAACGGCTCAACGGCCTTTCATTTCGAGATGCTAACGCGGAGATCTTAAAGTGGAAGAGACAAAAGGTAATAGTGGCACAATATTTCGCCAGATAGTACAAAATGAGCCATGCATTAATTAATATGCTTCGTGTTTTGCTAGAGAAAGAAGAGGGTTTAAAGGTGGTCCCTGGATAATATTGCCGGGAAAGCTGTTCGGGTATTAGACGTCCAGCATGATCAAGCAAACTGCTGATTCGTTAGTTCAACGACGCTTCAACCGTCTTAGAGACTGAGCAGATCTTTGAAGCAGTATTGTGATGAGTTTCAAATGAAGATCGACACCAGACTTAACGCAAATGGAGACGCGAATTCTGGATCTGCCAGCAGTTGTTTACGTGAGCAATCAAATTACAAAAACAAACGGAGACTCCACAACTTCAAGTTCCTCATAGCTGCAAGGCTTAGTTGTTGGGCTATAGCTGTTCCTGGAGGGACTTCAGAGAACGATATGAAACCTACAACAGACGGGTCGAGAACTGGGCGTGGTGATCGCTCAACCGTCGCTGATTCAAAATTAGGGTTGAAAGTTTAAGGGGGTTCTTTCCAACACAAAAGCGATGTCTGTATTGGATAGCAATTCGACGCGGACTCATCAAAGTGGCCGTCTAGACTTCCCGAACGCAGTGCGTCAAGGAGAGCAATACTGAGCGTAAACTTGATGGGATGTCTACTAAGAACTTGCTACAGTAAATGAATACTGAGATGGGTAGTCGGAGCATCTGAAATCGGTTGTGTTAAACCCTTTATAACTTTCTAGTCAATTTTTTATGGGAATTGTGCTAGGCATGAATCCAGGAGGTACGTGAAGTGACAAAAGCTATCCTTTTATCGAGCCATCTTCCAGGTGTCCCTCTTATTCGCTCAGAACGTACATGTCTTTGATACTTGAAAGGGCATCAGGAGCGGCCGATATGCCGGTCACTGCAGACACTTCTTTTAGGTTTCTGGTAAGTAAATATTAATGGGTTGAAATATCTGTAGATGCAACAGACGTACCTTAGCTTTTTCGAGCCCTCAGAAAGCCTGCAAAAGCTGCAGAAGGAGAGCGCGCCTCCTTGAGCGGTATCTTTGTTTTTATTTCCAGTACTTTATTTATGATTACCGTTACTGTGTGCTCATTCGACGCGGCCTGAGCGTATAGTCGAGATAGGCGTCTCGTCTGCCATACTTAACATTGTTTGCATCTTTACAAAAATATTTACTAACTGGTGATTCAGCTTTGTAAAACATACATTCATTTAATCTATTATAAAAGAATTACTAAAATTTATAAGAAATTTCTGTTTGGTTTACTAATCGGTGTTTATTGAATATGTTAAAATATGTGACGATGATGATGACAGTTTCGTTTTTGTCAAACCAAATAAAAACACCTGCACAGTTCTAGCTGTCCTTACTGTTTAGTTCTGGAGATTTCACCTGCTTCGACAAAGGCCCAAAGGCAAAGCGGCCTTCTGCTCACTCTGTAAGCTAAATAAATCTTAGAAAAGTGTCTACCAACGAAGTTGTCGCACATAAAACTATCTATTTAATTTATATAGAGTCACATGAGTACAGGGAAAGTTTTCACACATACACAGAGTGTGACAGAATATATGATCTGAAAAGAAATCAGGTCATAGCAGTGATCTGTTATTGTTTGTTGTTTTGCATCATTCTTTCTCTAAATGTTCAATATTGATTTACAATGGAAGGTGTTTTTACAAGTGATCCTATTTTACGAAAGACATCAAAGGAACGCTTGAAAAGTTAGATTGAAAAAGCGTATAAGCGTCTAGTGCTCAATTTTCTATTGAAGTCGATACTATTACTTTACTCATCATTTCTTACAACAAATTACAAAAAATGTTTTACCTTATTTGTCACAGAAGATATCTTGCATCATTTTTGGCTGGATTTTCCTTACGAGACCATAATAGCTTTCGGATCAGTTTTCAAACAACCGGGACATCTGCATATACAGTGTTTGCGTTACGCCGTTTATCGTGCCGCACTTTGCCATAATTTATGACGATATAACGCCAGTTTTTTTGTCTTACACAGTAACTTTGTGTCGAGCTAACTTCTTCTACCGATTTCCGCCCGCTACGACATTATGTCATCTCTAGATACACTCTTCTAGTTGCATCTTGTAGCACGTATTTGACGCCTTCTGTTTCCACCTTGGGTATAATCTTCCATCTTATAGATTGATTTTGCTGTCACATCGACTCAGTCTTCCGTACTGTGCGCTAAAACTTTATCTTATCTAACTGATATATACCAAAAAAATGGCTGCTTTCCTTCACAGAATGCCGCCGATATTCAAAAATATGGCAAATGTTCAAGTACCATTGTTGAAGAAGACATTTTGCATACCGGGCGCATGTTGTTTTTTTATTACCTGCAGGGTTTGTGTGTGTTTTCTTCCGCCGCTGCTAAAAGCCTTCCCCCACTATCGCAGGCAAGAGGCTACTAAATGGCCTGGCGTACCCTGTCGTGGTCGTTAAAACGTGTGGCCTATTAACTGCAGCTTTATGACCTTCCCTATAGCTTTTGGTTCTGGGCCTATTCTCCGCTTGAGGTTTCCCACAGCTTCCCACTCTTGAGTTTCTTTGGAGCTTACTACTATAAAAAACGTGAGATGCGGGCACTCGTCCTTGAGTCACTCAGCCTACGTACGTCTCTTCGTCATTAGCGGCAACTAAAAATCTTGTTCCAACAAAAGCATCTCCTTTTTGTAAGCTTGATCTTGAACGATCTACATTCTCGACCATTATCCCTATTGCGTAAATCGATATTTTGTAAGAGAAAGACGTTCCTAAGAAAGATCTTTGAAGTACTTTTCGTGTAAATCCGGATTCGAACGTTATGCCACACTGGCTTATGATGATACCGTTGCTACCGCCTCAGCCATCGCTGAAATCCTTGCCATACCTTAGTCAAACCAAAAGTATGTTAATCTCCAACTGATCCTCCTTTGTTCTTGTTTTAATAACGTCAAAGACAGATTCTCAAGCGCCTGCATGAAGATATGCAAGATTCGCCTTTGTAAAAACCATGGGTATGGTTCTTTTATGAATACACCGAGAAATTAAATGTTTTGAATTTTACGTCCAGAGTTGCCGTTGGACATTCCATCATGTGGCTGGCTCCCAGCAAGAAACAAAGCGTGTCCGTACCTATACAACCGAAATTCAAACGATAAATTGAAATTTACGAACAAGCCACCCACTACATGCTCACCGGAATGAATGAAGATGTAACAGTCGATCCGATAACTCGTTCAAGCGAAATGGTGCTATTATCTGGGATGCATACAAACGAAAAGAATGGCTAGCTATTAAAAGATGTGGTTAGTATATGCAACAACTTTAGTTTGAGTATCTACGTTAACACCAAACATACCGCAACCGTACGAAGGCTTCAGGGACGCATTCAGTGTCCCCTCGACAGAGCATTTACTACCGCTCGCTTTAAAAACGGCCCGATCAGGAATCGAGTTGGACTAGTTGTCCGAAGGACGCAGTCTTCCGGATCTGTCTTGATTAATGCTGGCTGCAATTTTCTGCTTTACATCGGTTAGCACTTTACACTAAATTAAACGATTCGTACTCTGTATTGTTTCAAATTAGCTCTGCTATAATTTGCAATAACAAATATGAACGTAACAAACCTGAATGGTTCCTCCAACCCTGCCGCTAATATAAGTACCTAAATCCCATTTTAATTATGTGGAAGCACCTCACTAGATATTTCGGTGGCCTCACCGATTTCTTCGCACACGTCTTGCAGGTACGTTAGTTACAAACCGGAATGAATTTCAACGTAACTTCGAGCGTATTGATCACAGTTGACACAATATTGATTGGCCACCGTTCCTGTATATGATGAATGTAGCATATAATGTCAGATCCGTAGAGTGCCATTTTGCTTTTTCAACTGAATAAAAACGTATAAGGATCTGTTAGCCAGATGTATGCTGTCTGGCTGTTCCCCTTTACTTATTCGGGGCGTCGGAGTATGTGATTCAACTGCAGCTTCCCTAAACATTTTGTGTGTCGAATTCAACTTAAATATTGGCGTGTTCCGCTAAGGTTTAAAGATGTACTGCGTAATATCTGGAACGGCCCGTCGATGAATGTGTTGTATGCACCAGATGTGTCATATTTGCTTCTATTGAAGTTTGTTTTACACCTGATTTCAGCTAATGGACAACTCAGACAGCGCGATCTGCCGTTTGGCCTAATCGAGTAGATCGGCGGCCGCACGCAGTTATGTTTTTGATCGTGTAAAGACTGCCAAGTTGGAATCGAACTGTGATATTTAGTTCTATGGATAGGACTACCACGCACGATATAACTTAAGAATGGAGCACTTTGGTTAGATTGAAGTGACCGGAATGTTTTGATTCTGACGAGACTTCGCAGAAGATGTCCTAAATGATCTACGAGTTTTAATTTCGAAAAGGATTTTTTCGGCATGGTTGAACCATCTTGGTGGACGTCACCGATTGGAAGCTAAATAAATATTTCAGCTTTTAAGAGTCCGTTACTTCCACTGCTTCAGGCGGCCAACCTCCAGTACGTAATGAAGTGTGCCTACTCAACTGACCGAGGAACTAACGCTGAAAAGTCTGAAGACTAACTAACCCTTCTATACATCCTAAAATTACTCTCGTCGCGGACTAAGCAACTATGAACGCAATGACCGTTTGGCCGACCCGCTTTGTTACCGGTATCATCAGCCATTACTTGTTTACAATCAAATCATATATGGTAAGAAAGAATATAATAGGAGGCGCATATAACAATTGAACGTTATTTTAGTGTAAGAAAGTCCATGAGCTTCATGTGTGCATTTACCTTTAGCCAGCCAACTTTTGAGTTTACTTATTTTTGAGCACTGAATATGACAAGCGCTCGGCATTGATGATCCAGGAGCGACGCCGGACTTGGAAAAGGTGAAATCTCTCCATTATAGAACACTGCCAGTTGTGATCGCAGGGGCTCGACAGGTGTGCCCTGATATATATTTTGTCTCCCAAGTCAGGCTACAGCCCTTACTTCGGGACGCATAATGATTTGCATTCCGAGCTGCACCTTGCAACCTGATCACGCCGATTCGACTGATCGAAACAAACAAATCTGACTATGTGCTTAGTACCCGGCTTTAGTGTACGAAGAAGTCCCGAAAATGTAGTTCTAACTATTACTAGTAATTGAAGTAGTTATCTCCAAGGCTAGAAGGAAGGGTTAACTCTCGATCTTCGTCTTACGTTTTTATATTAACACTGTTTAAACATTATTGTATACGAGTGCTGTTGATAAACAGCAATACTTAAATCGCAGTTCACCTTATGAGGCATTGGTCCTTTAAGACTTATTTAGGTTGATTCCATCATTAGGCGTAAGCAAACTAGAAGTCATCACACAAACGGGACACATATATATAATGCATATATTAGGTTGGCTACGAAGTTTTCCGTTCAAAACCTAACCCCTTCGATTGTAACTTTCAATTGAATGAACTCATTCTGGTCAGAGTAGTGACCACGCTCTCTACGACTTCCTCAATTTTTTTCCTTTCTGATTACTCCGCATTGACTGAAACAAGTGATAATCAGGTATAGCAAGGTCCGGGCAATGCGTCACGTAGGACAGTCGTCCATTGGAGACTCGTAAACGCGCGCTGGATCTAGGCAGTTTAGCGTTGTCATGCAGTAATATCATTTTGCGTCTGCTAATCCAAGACCTTTTTCTGTCAATTTCGTGTCTCAGACCCATGAGTTGATGTAAGTATCAGGCCTTCGCAACTTTTTCTTAGAGTTTAAGTAGCTCGTAGTATACCATCCCCTTCTCATTTCGCCACATGCAGATGCGTCGTTGCTGACCATGAAGAAGTTTACAGGGTCGATCTTTTTTGTAGCTTTGCGTTTAGGGGTGTCGTAAAACGCTGATACATCACTGCCAGTAAGGATATTGCACGAAAACGATTTTCTTACTTTGTAGTGGAAGCAACAAAAAGCGTATCGTCAGGTACATCTTTGTCACTTTTCCTCAGTTTATGGACGTATATTTCTCTTACTTTTCGATCTACTTTAGTGCGTGAGGATCCAGATGGCATAGAAACAGTTGACAAGAGTCATTTGGATCACTCGTAGCTGAGCAAAGATCTCTCAGGTCGACTGCCTACAAAGCGTCCGCGGTTTGTCGTCTTCCGTTTCTTGTGGCTTGTCGCTCAAGTTGCTGTCTTCGGTTATAAGGCAATTAGACTAAGACTAACCAGTAGCAATGCATACTGCATTTCATCTTTAACTTCGTAAACATTTAATCTTGTTGTAAGAGACACTTCCTCCATTACGAAAATAACAAAGGAGACAGTGTCATCCTTTCGAGTTCCATTACCGAATAGTCACTTCGAATGACGACAGCTCAGTGATCGCGACGGGGTGCACCCCCAACATTAAAAGCAATAATCTTACGAAGGTTCAATGAGGTACAAGTGAGCGATCCGACGCCAGTTTGTCGACTCCAGCAGAAACCTGTTTATAACCATGGGACATAAAGCTAGCATATATTCTGCATTAACTTAACTAGGATATCAACAACGCTATTAATCAATAGCACAGAGATTTGGAAGAATCATAATAAAGAAACAATGTGTAATAAACAAGTGTATTCCGTATTAGATGTTGCCGACAGCGAGGTACCAAACACGTTCCGGTGGCGATAGAAGCAATAGTAAGACTCGTATTGTAAGACAGCTTTCCACAGATCATATTCATATGAACAATATTAAAAAATAAATTGCTATTTGGGAACAGAATCCGCTCACTCAGCGGGTGATTGGCGTAGTATATGAAGACTTCCTCTGCAAAGCCAGAGGCTGCCGATTCATACCGGAAATTAGGTTAATACAAGGGTTTTACAATGTCACGTTAATACATAAAAAAAAAGCTAGAAACTATACAATTTCTATTCAACCCTATACAACACTATATACAATCTCATCTGAGCGGCGTAACTAAAGCACATTATCACCGATCTGTCTAAACTTAGCAGACTCTGGAAATTCAAGCTCCAGCTCGCATCAAATGGTAAACATAATCGATAGTCATTGAGTTTCTATCAAAATGGTAAATATATCTGGCTTACGATCTATAATATGCTAATGTAAGCTTCGAGTTAGCGCAGAATCACGGATTTTTAAAATGGAAAGTGTGTCTCGCCGATTCTAGCTTTAGCAAATCAGCATAGGTGCAGCGCGTTTGAAAGTCGATGGCCGAGCTTGTTCTTACCAGTCGAAGTCCGGAATGAAGCATTTAACAATTACACACACAATTTCTAACATCGAAGCATGTTGATTGAATCTAAAACAAAACAGTATAGACAAAATTAATTCATTTGCATATTTGCTCGTGATAGGAATTAAGCAGTCGCTCGATCGTGTGGTTGCGTTGACTCGATATAATATGCTGAAACGCTGGAACTTTCGGGTTCATCAATGCCCATCGAATTGTGTAGCTATGAATCTTGTTCTCCTTTACGACGCTGTTATTATTACAACGCTGATAGTGCTGGTAAAAATCAAGTTCATCGAGAAGAATCAACGTTGTTGAAACGATACGTTCGTTTTTGTTCATGGACAAACCACGGGGTCCAATGTGGCAGTTTACAGCTGCGGACCTCAACGGGTAAAATCTAACCCTTTTTGGTAAGAACTCCACCAGCTTGTACCCTCTGGTCTTTCCATGTATTAGCACATAACCCAATACAAGGTACTCTTCTAACAGTGTAGTACACAACCCCGAACCATCGCTACTCGTTCAGTCGTTAAGCGGTATCGAGTCCTGCTAGATGTGCTTTAAGGCTTTCCATTTATTTACATAGCTTGTGCGAACAAAGAAGATCATTTGTTTTTGTCGCTGATAATCAAAAGTTCGAGATCAGCATAGCGGGTTTGCTAGCAAAAAATTGCTTTAGAAAAAGCAGAAATTAATCAGAACATCAATAGGTGAAGGTAAAATTAAAATGTCAGTATCTATTCTCAAGCTAGATTTTTCTGTATTGATTTGAAAATTACTCCTTTGAATTTTGAATTCGATTTGAAATTAATACACAAGGCTTTACAAATATAAAAGCCTAATTGCAATAATCAGGGCTATACATATAGTCCTATCTCGCTGTTGCTTATAACTGCTTTACAAATATCCTGTACATGATAGCATACACACTGAGCGGACCTTCCTGAGGCATATGGACGCGTAAAATAGATTTTTTGCCATCATAGGCATAATATTAAATTAAAATTAAATAGGCAAGGCTTCGGTACTCTGAGGAGATTAATAAATGAGCGAGAAAACGTCTGTTCCAACGAATCCCATAACATTATGGGATTTGGGGGCACGATGAAGCACTTACGCCACTATCCGTGCCTCGGGCACGTAACTACGCATTTTCGCCCCGATAACTCATCTTTTTGACTTAGTCTTAAATAGATCTTGATTAGAAAGCATGCAGGCCTCTTGAACATATGCAAGGTGTTAGTATTCATAGCCGCTATCTTTCATTTAAAGCACAAAAAGATATTTAAGACGCTTGTAAGGCGATACGCTTCGATCGATCTGCAAATTTGCTTTGGATGTTTTATGACCGCGATTAAACGTTTCCGCCATATACAGATATTTTGTTTATTAGAGACGCGGCCTTATTCAGGTTCGCTATGAAGACTTCAGCGTTAGAAATGGTACAATATAGAGTTCGACAATAACCCATCTCAACGGTCTTAACTAACGGAGACCCAGCCTTTATTGCATCTATATTGTTCCAGGTTAGGTAATTTTTGAACATGCACATATTTCGATACGATAAAAGTTTGTTTTATTTATTCTTAAATTTCCCGCAAAACAACGGTGTTTGAAATTGTCTTATTCTACAAGCCTTTTTGTTCCTCTTTATGTAACGAATTTGGCGTCTAAGTTTTACGTAATATTGTAAGTGCTACATGGACTCTTAAATTTTATCTTTTAATAAATAGCATTGAATTTATTGTATGGTGAAAATAGCTGAAGATCTGTTACTGATGGTGTGCACGTGTTTGAGCTGTATAGTACTTTAAATCTAATAACACTTTAATTAACATGAATGTTACAGAGTCAAGATCTTTTTTAATATAGCGGTAATAAAAGAGCAAATAAACGAGTACTGGTTTTGTGCAGTTTAGAGGTTACAATATAAATTACACATCTCACTTTAGCGTTTCTTTGTCTGTTTAGCGGGCTCATCATAATGGAATAGATATCTTGTTGTATACCTGATAAGGCAAACAGAAAATGAGTATCCAGTATAAAGCTGTGGACCGCGACCAGGATGGGGTGCAAAAAAAAGCATAAGATATGTAGTGTATACGTAGGTGATAGCGCTGGCGGGGTATAAACCGTACAAGCATGGATCTGTCGGTTAAAACATGAGACTCCTCTTGTAGTGAATCTAACAACTGTTGATGGGCAAAACACATCAAGGCCTTACAATATAAGAAGCTGCACAGAACGATTCTGTTCTTCTGAAGCCGTGGATTTGGCAATGTCGATCAATATGTCAATAGTTCACAGATAGTAAATGTGCCCTACTCTATTTACATCATTTGTTTCAGCTTAAAAACGAACGAATCTCAAATTTGACCTGTTCCTATACATAATGAAATTAGTAAAAGATCACAAGTTGAAAATAATTCGCAGCGTCTCAAGTCTTCAAGCAACTTCCCAAAACCAAATATAATGTACTAACGCCAGCCGTGAAACACGGATTAATACCCTATTTCTTTTCTATACTATAACAAATCGGAAAGCTTATCAGATTTGCACAGTTACGATGATAAGTTCCAGATAGCAGTACTTCTAGCAGAGTACCGCGATAAGTATCGAGATAGTATGGCAGAAACGAATCGCGTTTGTGTTCAAAAAGAAAGTCTCTAGACCAATTAGTTTCGATTACTTCCTTAAGTCAATTTTCGTAACCTCGAGGGTGTAGATAAAGCTCTTGCGCTCAAAATAGAACTTGGTAACTTATTTAAAAGGGTTTCCGTACGAATAAAACTTACACGACGACCATGTTCCTTATCCATTATAGTTAAGCTTTTGAATTTACTCTTTAAATCAAAACATCGTACTATCATATAGAAGCGTATACCCTATATTTCAAACCTTCGCTCTTTCACGTGACGATATATTAATATATTAAGAGATGTTATGTATACTATTATTACGTAATACAAAAATGTTGATTGCATTTGTCTTTCGTGACGTTCTAACGCACATTTTAATGGAGTTGTCCTATAGGTGCACTGGCAGTTGACATACAAAAACACATAAAAGTACTTAAGGTTTAAGCCTTATATATGTGCCTACTCTGTGAGAGGAAAATAGTAGCTATTTTTTTACAAGGTGAATATAGCTTCATATGCCTTCATAGTAGAAAATTAGTCGAGTCGTATGAATTGCACTTCGCTTCAGATTAGTTGTCAGGTTTAAATTGTGTATTTTCTCAGTACGACATCTAGGCACAGGACAAACCCAGGCTAAAATTTCGTTGACTGTTCACTGGGACAGGAAGGTCCCTTTTTCAGTCCCTAGGCAAGTGATCGGTCTACGACCTCATGTGTGAACCAACGTACAGTTGAAAGTTATCTCACTAACATTGTCAGTTACTAAATTATCCGTTTAACAAAATTTAAAATTACATTCTGCAATGTTCATTAGTACTGAGATAAGTTTTCAGTAAAATTTGCTTCACTCATCAAAACTAAGGACAATATAATATAATTGTATAGTTCCTATAGTGGAACATATGTTGATCGTTTTCCTACGAGAAATATTTTTTCAAAAACCTCTGACGAGGATGCCCGTATTTGAACACGCGATGTATGCCAAATTACTTTATGGCGTTAACGCTGCTTTCGCCTTGGCCATTGGCAGGACGTCGTTGGAAGAATGGAGCATGTCCGACGTCGCCAGTATTTAATGTACCATGACATTATTGTCATTGTGTGCTGTCCACACATGTACTGCAGGCGATTTCATTCTATCGTTAATATCTGGCAAGTCGGATAAGACCACATGACAGTGAAGCTGCCTCAAGTTTCAAGTTTTGTAATGAAAAGCTGTAGTCGATATCCTTACCAGAGGAACTTCTTAATCTAGTTCTATACATTTCCGTTATTTCAAGCCTAGGTTATTATCTAGCAACTGGTTCTACGGACCCAGTTTAGGGATAGATACTTTCGGTATAAGAATGAACATATTTAGCTCATGCACTATTTTACTTCTGATCAGAAACTTAATATGAGTAACAATATTTTTTATTTATGCTTATTTGCAATAGCAAGAATTTTTTTCAATAAATTGATTTAGATTTATTAAAAAGTCGATATTAATTTATTTGATTATATATACCGATGATAATATTATTTGATTATATATATGGTTTCATCTAATCTGTAAGAAGGCAGTCGTACACCTTCTTTCAGAGTGTACTCCTTTCTGCTGTTACCGTCCGGCTGACACGTGATCTCGATAATTCTATGGAGGAAGTTCAGCTTAGTCGAACATAGATTGTTATGCCGTCGATTGTAATCGGTTCAGCCAACGTTATTTAATTATTAAAACTACTAAGCTTGCAGAAGCCAGAAGCAGAAGAAGTCAGTAGGCCAAAGCTGATTCTGACTATGTGGGCGCGACTCGATCCCCAATTTGCTTGCCTACATAAAATGTAGGGGGTCCGTCACCGATGTACTAATATCGAACTGTGATTAATGACAGCAGTTTGTAGAATATACATGAGTAATATTGCGGACACCAACGTTTTTCGTTGTGTCGTTTTAACAGTTATCGAAAAAAGTCGGGCAACGGCTACTCTCTAGAGTCCGCACCGTAAGGTTGCTTTAGCTCCATAAAGTAGTTATTAGAAACAGTGTGAAAGTTCTGGTATTTCTATAAAAATAATAGTTGACTAGAAACGCGAATCAACAAAGACAATAATTTTTCGGTTAAAAGGATTAATAGTTCGAATCGCGTTTCCCTTCTACCCTTCGACCCATACAGTAAACGTACGACGCTTCGAATGGCCTTTGAACTTGAGCCCCTGGCTTAACTAAATCTTAGAGAACAAGATTTTCGCGCAGCAAGCACTAAGTAATACTGTACGGCAGGCCTGACTCTTTCCATCGGAAGAAAGTGAAGTGTCCGAATCCTTTAACATGTCCTCAGCTCCTGCATGAGCGACTTCCTCTACAGACTCTTCGAAGATGAGGACAAAAGATCTATGAAAGAATTATACATTATTGTAATATGCAGTATTTCTAATCAGGTAAAAGAATTTGTTGGTCTACAGGGATATTTACAGAACGCGCAACACCGTGATGTATTCGTACCATGGTTCTATTTACTTTAGGATGTAATTATCAAATTTCCATAATTTAGATCAGACAGTGGGCGTGTATCAAAATAACGGATAGTGGGGAACTAAATTTGAGAGCTTTTTATTCTAGTAGAAAAAAAAATACAAGATTCTACTATGTGCCATAGATCACACGAGAACATTATATAGCACAGCTCGTTTTTGAACTAATACAATCGCCTACGAATTTAATTCAAACAACAATTATCGTTCGTTGATCTAAATATCATTTCTAAATTTCGTCCGGTGTTTCCATCAATTTACATTTTGCATCCTCTGGTGCTGTTTCCTTTGAAAAGATACCTGGAAAGACACCGGCAACAACCTCAACAACCATTGGCGAGAGCCGCTCCTCTCCCTAAGACATCTTTAACTACTACAATCGCTACCTTTAAAATTGCTGCCGTGTATCGAGGTCAGCCTCAACAACCATTTACGCCGGCTGCTAAAAGGGTCGGTCAAGGCACACCGGCTACTCTTTCTTTTAATGCCTTATGACTGCTATTCAATTGACACCTGTTGAAGTTACAGCAGTGCAAATTGCCAATGTTCTCACAGCACAACCAGTTGGACTTCTCGCACCTTGCCTCCTTGGAAGTCAAACACCACAGGTAATTAAGTGGTGGACTCCTGTAGTTTGTACAGCCGCTGCTATCTTACCAGGTTTTTCTGGAGCCCAATCTCGCGACCAGCTGAGGCTCCTGCACCTCATCCAACTGATGTTATTCCATCAAGTTCTCCTGGAGCCCAAATATCGCAACTAGTTGCATCTCCTGCAGTTCGTCAAGCTAGTAACGTTAAATTTGGTTCTTGAAAAGTACGAGTAGCAAAACTACTTGGCTTTCCTCCAGCTTGCTTCGTCCAGCTCTTGCTATGTCGCCAAAGTCTCCTGGAATTTCCATACTGCAACCAGCTGGGACCCTTGCGCCTCATATAGCTGACGCTGCCCTATCTGGTAGTCCTGGAATTTAAATTCCGCAGCCGGTTGGAGTCCCTGCACCTCGCCCAATTGGTGCTGCTACATCTGATAGTTTTCCTATAATTCCCGTTACACAGCCGGCTAGCGTTCATGCAGCTCGTCCTGCAAGAGTTCTGGTGTCCCGTTCCACCGTGGCTTCAGCGCTGCCAATCACAGCAGAAATGCAAATGCGTCCACCTCAATCTGAAAAATTGACTGTTCGCTCGAACGACACAGACTGTCCGGTGTCAAAACGCAACAAAAAAAAATAAAAACATAAAACAACAAAACGTATACATACACTCCATTTCAATTTGAAAGAGAGATCTTATATTAAAAAAAAAAAAAAAAAATATATATATATATATATATATATGTATAGTATAACTAAGGCCCCTTTTAACGTCATCTAATTTATAAATTATATTAGCGCTAAATTTATCCAATTGCAAACCGCATAATAAGTCTTATTTGTAAACACAGGCCGTTTCTATTATCCCATTGCTATAATTCTGTGCTGCATCTATTGCTATTTGATGATCCATCATTTCGTCTATTCACAAATAAACACATAAAACAGACCGACTCAATATAGATTGGAGCTGTATGCAGAATGATATATAAATCTCAACAAACAAGTTAACGGTCTAATCTCATACTATGTAGCAAACGGCCAGTGTGATGTAATATGTCTGTATATATTTGAGGCATCTTCTCATGATAATGAATTTTTGATGCCAATTTATGTATCACTGGCTTCTATGGGGACGGTAATTGCAGTCCTAGGGACGGTAAACATCTTTGGTTCGGCCTCGACGTTTTGAAGCCTTTGGTCTGCGGTAACTGCGTTCTTTATCACAGGCCCTTTCAAGTTTGCCTGAGAAATCTTAAATCCTGACAGTCAGCGACAGTATCAGATCGAAAATCTTCCGCAAAAAAGCGCCGACCAAAAAATTTTCACAGTGAGTAGACCTCGGCACCAAAATATACGGAAGATAAATACCAAATGAAGCTTAAATTTCCGTTACTGCTTTGTATCTTGGTGGGGAAAAAGACACGATTCTACTTATTAAATGTTGTGAAAATGCTTCGGACCAGTATTATCGGCGGGATCTATTTGAATTACAGACGACGATTATCATTATGAAAACAGCGATAGCTCTGCTTCACCGCTTTTGGCGTCTCATAGATACCTCGCATCAAGTTCAAATCAGTGCGGCAAACTATTGTAATGAGTTCAAGATGAAGATTAATACCATCCTGGTTCAGGTCGAGGCTAGAGTTCTAGAGCTTCAGCTCCTAAAATACTAAAGGAACCGTAATGCTAAGCCTTTTATTGGTGCCTGCACACTTGAAGCAATGTCTTTGATACCTGCTACGATTACAAACTGGGCTATTGCCATGCTAGGTAACGTTCAAGACTGTGGTTCTGCAATTTCAACAAGAGGGCGAAAAGCTCGGAATGTTAATTCTGTCGCTATATTAACCCATTCATATAGAAATCGGGCGACGCCACAGACGGTTCTTGAAAACATCAAAAATAAAGTATTTGAAATACAGATCATCCTCGTTATGCTCAATTGTCACTCGAACTATGGATTGATTAATGCAGCTGCTGAGACGTCGTACCTGTACATGCGGACGCAATACGTTAACGACATGAACGTGAATGATGGACGTAAATTCAACGGGACGTTCATGTGGAATCTCCTGCTGAAAATGGATACAGAGCTCGGTAATATTAACAACTGAACCGTGGGCCCTCGACCATGGGTCATGCAGACCATTCACGTACGTTGGCATCAACGTCAACCCTCTTGGACCAGGTGGATAAATTAAGAATTTATTATGTTGATACAGTTAAAATACTGAATTCTAACTAAGCAGTACAAAATTATTTGAGTCAGTTACATAATACAACATAAATCGCTTCTATTTAATTTAACAGAAATTCTTATTTATCGCAATAGTGAGCCCAACAAGCGGAGCCCTGAGCAAAGACATTATGAACAGTAATATTCTATAGGATTCTATTTAACTTTTGAACTAGAATCTGTTGGACTTTATTACAAAGTACATAATCAAGTTTACGTGCTCTTTAGATCCTTACACTTTCAGCCTATACTTGTACTTTTATACTAGGCAAGATTTACTAGATGGTGTAGCACTCCATTTGTATGCCATAAATTTTACAAATATACGTTTTAGACATATTCCAAGAGAGCTAAGTCTTGTTAGTGGCAGAGGAGCCAAACGAATAAAGAATATAACTTGAATACCTTGGCGGCTTTGTATAGCTTGACGTATATGTACGGGTTCAGCTACCTTCTATTTTATGTAGAGGGTTTATACATGATGCTGTTATTTTGGCCCCTTTTACATTGTGCACGCTAAAGGTCATAGAGGGGTCAAAAAAGTTCCCGATTATCTATACTCAAATCAAAAGGTGCGCGACAACTCAGAAAGAAAAAAAAGTTTCTGAATCTACTTTCCCTTTACATATATTAGGAATATTTATGCCTCTCTTTTACTAGGGTTGCATCATTTCTACAATTTAATCTTTAATCATTTAATCATTTTTTCTTTGAGTATATTTTTAAATCGCTGATTTACATATCGTAAGCTTAGATTTTATACCAATATATATACATAATAAATATATAACAATTTAGATTTTATACTAACACTGCACGCAATAGTAGATCAAGTATGAACCGTAAATATATCTAAACCTAGAACCGATATATGCCTTATTACTTGAATTGACGTGGAAGTAATAACTAGAGCACCTTCAATTCGCATGGTTCTTCGTGGTTGGTCGCATGTGTTCATGTTACTGTAGCTCTCAAAAAAATTATTAAGGAGATAAAGCAATAACTCGATGATTTGATCGAACTGGGGATGGCCAACTGGCCTAGACCTACGTGTTTCTCCCGCAATTTCAACGAGACTTCTGAGATGTGGCCAGCAAATTAAACCGTAGCCGGATGTCGCGTGGTAATCGCAATGATAGCCACCTATGGCAGCTGTGATACTTGTTGCGTCGACACTTCCAAACCTAAGAACCAAAGAAGAATAACGTCGGTGGGACGATCCGACAAAGTCGGAAAGTGTGGAGCCAGAGCAAATCTAACATAAATGGCAAGCCAAGCGGAGATCCATACGAAAAGCTGCGCCGAGTGCCATTGTACAAAATCTTATACCATCAATCAGTAAATGCATTGAGACACCAGGAGGCGACCTGATGTTCATATAGCTCAGCTTCTTACTGGTCATGGAATATTCTAAGCTTATTAGGACAAGTTTAATAAAACGGAGTCGCTGATATACTTGCTGCCTAGATAAAGTGCCAGATACTGCGAAACAGACCAGGTCCCACTATCGTGCCCTCGATCCACTCAGACGTCCCCTTACAGAGATGCGGATGACAAACCTTAAAGGTTATGTAAGACTGATATGCGAAAATTAGCTGGCAGAAGCGTAAGTAGCGGAAAATTATTCTTGAAGGGAAAGGATGTTTTAAGAGATCAGACCGGCTTGAAAGATTGTCACTAGGCGATTTCGCTGGAGTCGATGGTCTAAGGTCGAGCTTAGTACAAGTGCGGAGGACTACTAGCTTCCGCGCGGTAACATGTTCTTTTGGAGAATTAGGGAGACTGAGGCTAACTGATGCGATGCGACCTGTCGTTCCCTTTCATCAACCCATAACACTATTCAACAAAGATGCAGGTCAAGTGAAAGAGGAATCGAGAATTAGCGGATAGTGATCTCGAAGAACGAAGTTCAATCGTGGAGGCTATATTCCGCATTCGGCCCACGTAGAAATGACTATTGGTCTTGTAAAAAGTGCTATTTAAATCCTCTCAAGAGATCTCAACAACAGCTCTGAAAGCAAGTACCAAACCAGAATTCGCAAACCTAGGTCCAGTACATCCATGTTTCTCAAATGCCTACGGGTCTTTCACTTGCGCGATAAGTGCGTTCCAAGTTAGGTAGTAATCTACCGTGACAGCATATCTCAGGACATGTTTAACGCCGTTCATTTCTACAAGTTCGCGGAATGGCGCTCGGCATGCACTGAATTTGAGACTAACTTCCGGCCATCAATAGTGTTCATCGTTATTCAGAAGCACCTCATTCATTCTTCATTCATGCTTTGGAGACCCGAGGGCGGTATCAGAAAAACCCAAAACATCCCTCCCGGAATCGTGATCGACAACAAGATCGTCTACTCAAGCATGTTTGATTCCTATTCATGCTCACATCGGGGAATTCTGGGTACCTCGAAGCCAACTAACAATCACGCGGTTCATGATGATGCTGACAATACACCGAATGGAATCTATATGCTTCAATATCTGGTATGCCGCACTTATACGCGATGCACGCGTTCTCTGTCGCTGCCAGCACCAGCCCATTATGCTCATTTAATAGCATTTCATGCAAAAGAACGTATCACAGGCGTCATCTATGGAGGCAGCTTGATCGGCTCGGACGTTGATTCCTGATCTAGTAAGTGACGACGATATCGACTTTGTAAAGTTTACCCAAGCCATAAAAGTTAATGACAGCATACGAGGCAGATCGTACTATCGTATTATTATTTATTTGCATATCTTTCTCTTAGTACGCACTACGAATATGAGGTTAGTCGAAGGTGTTACCTAATAGTTTATTTTTTCTCTAAAAATTTATTTCCCAAATAGCTAAAAGTTACCACGATAGTCAAGTTTTCAAATGTTGTGTATGCGTCGAGATATAATTAGGTGCGATTGAAAGTCCTTTTCACGAAAAAGACCTGTGCACCCTGTCATTTGCTTTCCTTTTCTAAGATAAATAAACTATTGTTATGTTCTATAAGCACGACACTAAAAATCAAAGATGGTCATGTTTTCGGTAATATTTCAAAAAATATGTACATACTGAGTGCATCTGTTCAATATAACCTAGTATAATAAAGTAGCGTATATTGTACTTCGCGTCTTACACTTTAACTGAAAGGAAGAACACGAAATATTAACACAGCTTTGTAGGAAAGAAGAAAAGGCTAAACCAATTTCCTAACATTGCTAGTTATATATTTTAATATACTTATATTAATATAAATACTTTAATGTGATTGTTGAGAATGTTTTATCTGAAGCACTAAGGAATTTCTAATTGAGAATTACTTGAGGGTTTAAAAAGGTAATCCCAAAAATCAGTTACCTAGGGGTTGTGGAAATTTTTATAATTGGCAACACTGAAAATTCAGCACAGAGTTTGATCTGTGCGTGCCTTCAGGATTTCTAACTTCAGAATACAAAAATGCTCTGAGAAAATCGAAAATCAAATTTTCTACCTTAGAAAACTAATAACGTACTGTTAAACCACAGGCAGGCGTTCTATACATTTCGAAATTTTTTAATGGAATTTTCATTGAACTGAATGTGGCACTAGTTACAATAATCGAAAACTAAAAGGTCTCTTTTCTTTTCTAAAACCTACAAGCGCCGTACTCAGGACCAGAAATTTTTACAGCTAATGCACAAGCTCGCGTTCTTTTGATTCTAAGCATTTTGACGTTTTAAAGAGATTATTTGCAAACCGGTGGCTATTTGGGGAGCTTCGAAAGACCTATGAGATTTAAAAACTAAAAATTCAACCTTAATGTTTTTCAATTTAAGTTCCAGAGAAGACAAAGCTGTGCTAAAAAAAAACTGCATTATAAGCTTATCACTTCGAGATTATTTACGTGTACAAATCAGTATATATATATATAAAAAATTACTTCTCCCTTGATTTGGTTTGTTTGATTTTATTTGTGCTAACAGATGCTGCAATAAAAAATCAAAAAAAAAATTGTATATAGACAAATTGTCGGTTTGCACTGCCAAAGCCTTCATGCATAACGGAGCCGACTATATACTGATCAAGTATATTACATGTAAGCTGGCTTTTGGCCAACGTAGGCTTTCGCTTCGTTTACGACGTCCAGCCACTGGTCCTGTTGAGCGTCATACATCATAGTGAGAATTCCCTAAACATCACGTAGATTTCTTGAGGTAAGTATTTTAATTTTTATATTCCATTTTATTAAAAAAAAAACAGAAACAATGATTAAGAAGAATAGAGATATTCCTGCTCGATTACACTGCGACTCCCATTCTTATGGAATTCGTTCACTTAGGCTACATTAAAATTGCTAATTTTTCTTGCGAACATAGGGGACCGTAATTATTTTAGCATCAAACAGACTATGCTGTGCTAAAAATACACCTTGAAAGACTCGTGTAATCTGAATATTCGTATATAAACATAGCCTAGAAACGACGCTTGCAAAATATTTCAAAATCCTAAATGCAGAACCCAAAGCGAGTCCAAAATCCCAGCGAGGTCTTCTTGTATACCATACACCTCGTACTTAAAAAAGTTTAAGTGTGGTTGTGGAGGTTCTTACAGGCTCCTAGAAAGTTAAGCCAAAATTTTCTTTCTTCTAACCTTACCGTCGTTTCTCGATGGTAAGCCTTGTCAAGGTTTAGGCTGTGCTCGACGAGGTTTCGTGTTGTACAACCTTGATACCGCACCTCCTCGAGGACCTTCTCCATGGTATTCTCAAGTCTTTCAGAGCTCTCGACTAAACGCTGTAAAAGCTTGTTCTGCTGTACAATTGAGGCCGCCAAAGAACTGTATAAATTATAGTAATATTAGTAGTGCACCTTAATTGAAAGTAAATATCGCAATAAAATTAAAATTTAATCTGACTGAAAGGAGCAAACAAGGAATACCGTTTTCTGCTGACGTAGACAGCATGAAAAGCTGACAGCGAATATTCAAGCAACTTCATCCGTGTTTTCAAGAAGGCAACCAATACGTCTTGAACATTTAAAAAGACAAATGAAATAATGGTTCATCAATAACTGGTACGAAAAAGGAGATATGGAATAGTAATGCGTACCCGTCAGAGTCGTTCTTTGATAAGGAACGTGACGCATCGACGTTACAAAAGATGTTTTTCGCCCTGGAGACACTGACTGGCGCCTTACTCTGTACACCTGATAAGAAGGAAGTGCTTTCTTAGTCAGTGATGGTGATGATGATGTACTAAATCAGTCTTGAATTATGTAATAAAGAAGAAATACCCTAAATCTAAACTTCTGCCATAGAGACTGGTGGAAGTGCGAATTAACTATTGTGAGGGAAAACCTGTACAAGGCTGCTAATAAGAAAATTTCGATACGCGTGGAAGATATTTAATAGCGACTTCCTCAATACCAACGCTGCAGCACCAATCCAATCGTCTGAATGACGTAAGGAAATCGCTACCATTAAATAAATAAAAGTGATGTCCACCTTAGTATCATACATAATGTCCAAAACAGCTGACAAAGTGCTATTTTGCGATGTGTTTAAACCATTTTTGTTTCTTAACCTGGTTTGGCCAGCAACGCAATTAGAGTAACTACTATATTGTTGGATGGTTTCGCCCGGCCAAAGCGTGAGTGGTGTAATTTTTTTTTTATCTTTTTTTAGGTTTGTTTTTTCTTTAAATACTATTATTCAAGTAATGCACAACAATGACGAAATGCCGCATATATATTAATCGAATCATTGACTGGACAACTTACCCGATCCCATCATTTGCTTAAGTGATAATGGCGGACGTTCACTTTTTGTAGGCGAAGAACTGTCCAATCCAATGTCGATAAGATCCTTGTGAAACCTGTCATAATCTGGTAAGCCAGTGTCAATAAGCAAATAAATAAATAAAAAAAAAAAAATATTTCAGCAGCCGATTACGTGGCGCAAAACTTATCTTCTTTTTTTGACTATTTTTTTAATTTAATTCACAGTAAATCTCTACAATTTATGTTCATAGAATGAAAGTAAGACAAAGTTGCACTACTCATTTAGTCTATAGAATTTAAGTAATAATCGAAACAGAAAACTACTGTTAATATGCCTATTGAAAAGATAAAGTTTAATGTTAACCTTTCATTCTTGATATAAAAGATATATCTAACTTAAGTCAGTCAAACAATTGCTAATTATTATTTCACTTTTTTGTCTGAAGGGAGTCTATGGTGTTTTCAACATTCGCAAACTATTTAAATCGCTAGCTTCCTTATACCTCGTTAGCTGAAAAGGTCACTTTCTTGTTTATCTGAGTCTTCATTTTTCTCCTTTGTTTATATCCACAGTTCTATTATATATTTAATGTCATCAAGTACAGCTTTCAACTGTGAGGGCGTCACGTAAAAAATGCTATTGACATACCGCTTATGATTGTTGACTGCAAGACGTGATTGTTCTCCGAAGTCTGCATCTCTTAGAAAATATAAAGACAAAAATAGAGATACATATGTGATTACATAATAATTTTACATGTTCGTCTTGCCAAAGTTTTAAGTCATGGTAAGCTTGTCCTTTTCTTCAGTGCAGCCTGCATCAAACACCACGCCACGTATTGTCGTCGCGACGATACCGATAATGGTGTAGCAGACTCAGTTTCCAATACGGTTACTAGTTTAGCTGAATAAAAATTAAGGACGTCATACCAGAGCCGAACAAGGTACTGTACATATATTTCTGTTTTAAACACAAGACAATCCAGTAAGACCGAAAATCAGCTGGGTAGTTTGACGGTGTATTTCTATATTATTAGCTTGTTTATGACGGAGAATTATTACGGAGTAATTTTTGCTTACTGTCTCTAAATTCGGTGAAATCCGTAGTTTGGGATGAAAGCTTTTTCAGATCTACACAGTCCCGCGGTGGAGAAATCCAAGCACTTAGTGAGTTCGTTCTAAGCACGTCTGAAGGGCCAATAGAAAATTTATTAATAAATATCCAAAAGGATAATATGTGTGTATATCGAAAGCGACGGAACCCGTGAAAATAAGTGAATTCTGAGAAGAATGAAAGCTAAGCCATAAACACAAATGCAGCGCTATATGGTATCTGAACGTTGTCATCGAAAGCGCTCAGATCTTCTAAAAACAATTCTTACAAAAATGATTTGACAAAATTCGGTGATCTTTACATCTGCAATATAACATATCCGCCAGAAACTAGAACTATTGACCACATTCTAAGATGTCTGAATCAGCCTCTTGGTTTAGTATCAAATGGAAAAAATGTGTTTACGGTTTTTAAGCCAATTACATAATAGGTATGCCATGTTTCCAAAGGAAAACATGACCCATTATGAATTACTAATTAGGCCTCTAGGTGTTCTTTTGGTCGGATATAAATGAGTGTATGGCCCTTAACACGGCAAGATCGCTAACCTTCGGCAACTGCGCCCTCGACTGCACGGGCTAACTGTTTCCTCGACCCCCCAGTATAGCCTCGTGGTGGAGAAATTAGGGTGCTTAACGAGCTTTTCCTCTGATCATCTGAAAGCCCCATTAGAAGATGGTGCGGTCTTTAATTAAATAAGACAACACCAATAGTGAAAAAACAAAACTAACGATACGAATTTTCTATTTCGGTTTTGGCATTAGTATTGAGCATTACGGTTGATATCTCACTTAATCGGTATAAGTGATTAAAACGCCTAAATCGACAAAAACCACGACAACTGCATTAGAAGTTATAATATTTCTACTTTCTTACCTAGTTTTATCTGGCCGATACGAACCTCGTCCCCTCGTACTGGTGAGATAACACATTGCGCAACGTCATCGACTTTGAGAGCAAGTCCCGTTCTCGCTGTGTGTCCCAATTACCATTAAAAAAATGTAAAAAGCGGCACTTTGTTTCAGGTTTTATCGTCTCAGCTTTAACAAATCACATTTTTCTTTCGTTAAATTTACTACTAAAAGTGAATAAATCCAAGGCCATCTCAATTGTATTGTGAAGGAATTAAAAAAAAACTGGACTAGTATGTGCAACCACAATGCCCTAAAATGTTTTCGAAAACGTTCTCGGCTAATTATGCGATTGGATTCGGTCCACTGGCTATGCGGAAAGCAGTAACTCAATAACCATGCGAATTAGGGAAGTGTCTTCATACATCGGACATTCAGACTAGCTGAGAGGTGTTCTAAATCTCTGCTGAAGGGGGATTATATTTTAAATAATGCACATGAAACAGCTACAATTTCAGGTTCCCTGAATAAAAACGGCGTGGGTCAATTATTGGAATTTATTCTTTAAATATTTTCAAGCTTACATACCGCTCACACTTTTAGATCGTGTTTCTAGATTATAGGGTTCCAATTGCGGATACATGCACTCAACTCCTGATGATTCCCTAGATACCGGCAGCTGAAAACAAAAACTTTGTTCTTACCGTATGCTACGATAGACAGGCCAATTACTAAGACGAAGAAACGATCAAGCAGTGTTATCAAAATGGTGAAAAAACCTGTACGTGAAATATTATAGATATAAAACATTGCGCACATGGTGTTTGGCTCGACTTATCATTTCGACCGGCCTCGAAAATATAGTATCTTTGGTCCATAACAGTTGTCGTCGGCGAATATCTAGACAAGCAAGTCCGTCGGCTAAGCCTAGTAGAAGCTCAGCACCTTCGCGTAATATTCCTGCACTCGTGACGCGTTTGTCATGTCGGTAGAGTTGACCACACCTGCCTCAACAAACACGTGCACAATAATACGATTAGAGAAGAGTAAAACAACTTTAAAAAACTTAATAAAAAAAAAAGAGCGTTATGCTACGTTTAGACGCGTCTTTCGGACGTCCATAAAATATCTCTTTTCCGAATATTCTTTTGTAGTAAGTGCAGTGTCATTTCAACCTCGCATTGTTTATATTTGTTAAAAAAAAACAGTCGTTTTCATACAATACATAAAATTTAAGACCGTTTTTCCTACCTCAAACCGATAAGTAAAATACAATAAAGAGCTTATTTATAAGCTCTTTATTGTATTTTACTCAAAGCACGTTATGTATAGGTGCTAACACTTCATCTGAAAAGAGTTTCCTACCCTTTGGCTGAATACTGAACAACCCTTCGATCTACAGCAACGGTTATTAGACCTGAGGTTCCGGCCCAAAGCAATGTTAACGGTTCACAGATGTGCTCTTCGCCAGGTGGCGCTCGCCAACGGACTGAAGATGGTGGCGGCTAAAATTTAACAATTACCCAATCCAAACAAGTAAGTACGCTCCATTTTAAAAACTAAGGATTCGCGGGTATTACTACTAGACATGAGTTCAGCTTGATCCCTCAATGTGAAAACTCTCTTCCAGTTATGTATATTAAATAAAGAGAAGGGCCGGATTACCTGTATGGTGCCTGTCGAGAATTCAAGGACAGCTGCGCCTTCGGCTGATGAAAAAATGCCAAGGCAAAATTGCTGTGTCGGATGAAATCGTAGAAGAACTTGCGCATTCTGAAATTAAAGAAAATGAGGAACTCACTTAAATCCAAGCATGAGGCTAAGATCGCCTGGGAGAATATTTGCGTAACTCTGCATGCGTAATATGTAACCCCATGTAAGATTTTAAAAGAATTGAAAAGGAGAACTCGAATTACCTTTGAAGCATCGTATTCGATAACTGTGTCGACCTTATTTCTTATGCTATGCACAAGAAGGGAACCTCCGATTGCAACCGCCACGTGACTGCCCATGGCATTGACGTCAATCGAAGTTGCCGGAGGACCGACCTCATTGCGGCCCTAAGAACGTAATCTAAATATATTGAGACTAAGGTTCAAACATAATACCATAGAATATAGATCTAGAAAAATTAATGCCTGGGTTATGGTATAGTAAATGCAATATGGCAACTTAGTTCGCTAAACGTTACCTCTACCTCGTGTTATCCCAGCAAAAACCTAATAAATTCTAAGTGAAGTGAAAAAGTTGGGCATAATTGTAGTGGCTCTCGAAATTGTATCGATGAAACAATTAGTACCATAAATTTGACTTTCCGACTGATATTGCTTCCGCAACAGCTGATTCAATCTAAGTTCCCATTAGTGCCAATTTTGAGATGGACCATACCTTGGTAAGAATGTTGAAGCCTTTAACCTTGAGATCAAATTCAATAATACCTCCTGTTGCTGTACCAAAATATACTATGTGATTTCGAGTAGGTGAAAATACTCCACAGGTCACACGGAACTGAAAAACAAATGGTATTACATTTATTTACCATATTCATTTCAGTTTAACAATTAGCGATCTTGGTCGTCTGCAATGCTATCGGAATTTTCGTGATGGCATACATATAACTGGATACAAATAGCGAGTGAACCCGGATATAACAACTCTCAATTAGATAAACACCTCGCTCTACAAATCAGTAAATGCCCCTTCAAGCAGAAACATGTGTTTACCTCAGAAGGGAAGTAGTCATAATAAAGCCATCGGTCTTGAATTTTGGTGAGACAAGCGAAACAAATTCCGTGATCTGGATTCGAACTGATTGCCATCAACTGGCGACCATCTGGTGATAGCTGAACATCTTTCAGCTGCGCCGGGTCGCGAGGCCGGATTGTGGAAACCTAGCAGAAGTAACGGAAAGAACAATCTAGCGTCAAAGAAGTATTGCAATAGGAATGTAGATGAAAAATAGACTAAATTTACCATATCTATATTATAATCGAATCAGTTGGCTGGGTTCCTCTAGCTAATTATTACCTGATTAAAACGGCCATCCGAAGCTCTCGTGAACAGACTCAGCTTATCTGACACCAACAGAACTGAGTCCATTATGGACTTACGAAATTCCCACCCGTAAGTTGAATAAAATCCTAGATTTCACACAACGGTGGAAATACTGAAATAATTTAAAGAAGAAGAAGTCACCTGAGGAACAAATCTACTTACAACAGAAGACAAGTTTGTGTTCCACGCTAAGTTCGTGACGGTTTCTGATAGTCACGCTTCCGAACACACGGGAGGCTTATAAAATACTATTTGGCTAAAAACGAATGTATGACAGTTTGAAGACGTAGCTATAGGCGATTTCTTTTCATGCGAAACCTTCAAACTAACGACACAAAATTATAATATTCGATTTTTGTTGTGGATTAAATGTGCTATGTATCTACGACTTCTAACAAAAACTTGGCCAACCAACGCTTTGGTAGAGTAAAAAAAACTCTTTTATCCTGAACGTCTTGAATTCATAGATAAAGAATTTTAAAAGACGAAAAGTCAGGAGTCATATAAACCTACTCATTATAATTTTATCGTTCTTGACAGCGATACTACGAACATATGTGATTTACGGCCCGGTTTTGGCAGCTGATTAATGTGTATCAGAATTATATCCACGGCAGTTTGACTTCGAGTTTAAATGATTCCAGATATCGGTATCACTTCAATCTCTTTAAATCCTGAATCTTCTAAGCGCTGATTTTTCCACAACGGCCACTAATGCCTGAGGCGTAATGAGGGTTGGCCGCTCTGCGCTCCAAGTAGCGAGGCAGTTAAAATATTGTATCGATGTGACCAAATAAATGCGTTGTAAATATTATACTTACTATAATCAGCCGTTTTTATTCATTCAAGAAACCTTTCTTCAATACAATCAAACTAAGCACATTGTCTACGAACTGAGTACTAGCCATCCAGCAATTTGTTCGACACTCAAGATAGTTTTATGGCGGGTGAACTCTGAGTTGACTCTCAGTTAAAAACTTCGAGATAGGGATAGAAATGGGGGCCACAAAATGCAATTCCGTTCTACAACTTCAAAGTACCGGTAGCTGCGGTGCAGGCAATCAAATGTTTCAATGACTCGTAATCTTCGTTCTCTAAGCGGCTTAAAGACACATTTTACACTTGATAATCTTGTTAAACTAAACCTTACGTAGATATTCCCTGATGGTAGAATTTTTTTGGTGTATCCGAAAAGCCTATACAAACTAAACATACATTCAGATTGTCAATAATCTTTTTGGAATGTTGTTTTCTCGCTGTCACTGATCGAAAAAATTCACCTGACCGCCAAAGAGGAAATCGGGCATAGTGCTCTGGCTACACCCGGAAGTACACTACGATGAATGATGAAAGCAAAGAAAACATCGTTATTTATTTACATTATCGGTCAAATTTTTATATACGAAACTGAATTCTGCGTTCGACTATGTTTCGATAATGATTCTAAAATAACCCATCTAGAATATGGTCTTCTAGATCATGTTAACTGCGAACTTACACCCGGAAGTACGACGCTCTCGCTAAGCTTGACTCAAGATGGCCGCTATTTAAACGCGCGAAACTATCCGTTGCTTTCTCATTCACAGTGGCCGAATTTTAAGGTGCTATACTGTTGAATTTGATTGAGTCCCATTGTAAGTTTTGTTGTTGACTTTTTTTGAGTTATAATATCAGCAGTTTTTTTATAGATTCGCATCGCTGGCATGAATGTTACCAACAACGCTAATATTATGTCTTAATATGCGTAACCGTTGAAGCCAAATGAGCATTGTCTTTCTTTGCCAAAAGCCGTTGCTTCAAGCCATGTGGAAGTAACCCATTTCCGTTGATATCCTAATTGAACTTGCACCTTTATATTATTTGATCAACTTTAATCATACATAATTAGATAAAATGCTCTACACATAAAGACAGTATTTATCCTATATAATAGAAGTAAAGGACTGAAAGTAAGGGAATCATGCAACAAAAAAACGTCGTTTTAAGTCCGCCCTGTTTTAATATTGTATTTAATTACGCATTTTTAAATGTACTGTGTAATTGTTATAAATAAGCCAGTGTCTTATCTCTAGGGGCTTTTAATAATAACGTGTTTCTTATGGGAACGCCATATGTTCATGCAGGTATCATAGTATCGAGGTGTTTGTTCTAATTAGTGTGAAGTTATAGAAGTCGCACATCAATTATTTGACGGAATTTGTATGGAATGTCTTTTTCTAGGGACAAACGTTTCTCATGAGGCACCGGCATTTCTTAGCAAGCTGTTGAACACAAAAGCTAATTGCATGCTGTATCAGTAGGAAATGGCTTATGATGGTTAGAGCCCTAGAAATAATGTATGTTCGCAGGAATAGTAAGGTCTATGTTTCTAATGAGAAGACTTAACGTGAAAGCGTTTATAGCAACCTGTTAATATAATTCCATTAATACATAACGGAGCTGAAGAATTAATAACGAAATAGTGTCTTTCACAGGTGAAAGAGCAACTATGGATTCGTCGTCGCTCGTCGAAGCCCCGCGTCGAATAGATTTCGGTGCGGCTGACAAAGAACGGGAAAGCCTACCCGTTTATTTGCGAATCAAACCGATTCAAGAGGAAGACCTTTCAATCAAAGTGATCGATGCAACGACAGTCGAGACCAACCATGGTAATGAAAGTTTTTCATTGGGAAATTTTTATTTAATATATTTATGATGTGAAACTTCTATATTGTAAAATATAATCGGTGCAGTTATCAAGGGGGCATGTAGAAAGTCCATACTAAAGGGTATCCTCTGTTGCTGTGTAGACATTCCTCGTCCATTTCTACATCTCAGAAGTGTGAAAAGATGAGGTAATGCACCCCAATGCTCTCCGTAACTGTGTGAAAAATTTCATAGAAATTGTTACTGTTTATATTACTTTATATTAAATGCGTGTCATATTTGCCAATTTTTTTTTCGTTGTTAAAGCCGGGCGAGCAAATAAGAAAGCCACGTTTACGCACATTTTTTCTGGGACGGTTACTCAGGAGGAGGTTTTCAACGTAACCACAGCGTCCTTAGTGGACAAGTTTCTTGACGGTGCTAATGTGATGACTTTCGCGTATGGTGTGACATCGTCGGGTAAAACCTATACCATCATGGGTGAGCGTTCAGATCCCGGCGTTGTGCCCCGTACACTGGAAAAGATTTTTGGATCTTACAAATCAAAAATAAAGAGGTCGGTGCCCACTTACAAGCCGAAACTTTTTGAAGCCGCACAGGAGCTCACGTCGGCAGAGATCGAGGAATTGGAGCGCATTAAGAGCTCACTTTTGACAAAAGGAAAAGGCGGCCCTATCGGTTTCGATCAGTATGCGTTTGCTAACATGACACGCGATGCATCTGAATCGCCCACGAACACTACTATCAATGGAGCGGACTCATGCTCCGTGTGGATCTCTGTATATGAGATTTACAATGAAATTATTAGCGACCTACTGGATGTAGCTTCAAGGAACAAACGTAAGGGGTTGATGGTCGGACAGGACACTAAGGGACAAACTTTTGTGAAAGACCTTATACAACTACCTGTTAATTCAGCTGCTGAGGCCTTCGGGCTTCTGCAGATAGCAAAGCAAAACCTTGCTAAGGCATCAACCAAGTTGAACGACGCGTCGTCCCGTTCGCATATGGTATTCACTGTTAAGATGGTGCATTGGGGTCTCGCTTTAGCTGAACCACTAGTAAACCAGTTTGTCATTAGCGATTTAGCCGGTAGTGAGAGACAGAGTAAAACCGGTACGACGGGCGTCATTTTGAGGCAAGCGAGTGCAATTAATGGCTCCTTGCTTGTACTCGGCCGCTGTCTCGAAGCGTTACGCAAAAAAGACAAGGGCATCTCGGCACCCTTCCGAGATTCAAAGTTGACACGGATGCTAAATCCGTTCTTCACACTTGGTGGATACGTAAGCCTTATTATATGTATAAACCCGCATATCTACCTCCAGGACGAAACCATGGACACAATCCGATTCTCGGCCATTGCTTCTGAAATCGTCCAGTTTTCGGATCGTCCTCTCGAGCGATTGAGGCAGCTTCGCCGACTAACTCAGGGATGCGTGGACAACAGTCCATTGAAGGTCGGATCAGTCGACGATACGGAGGTCGAGTCCTGGCAAGATGCAGTACATCGTAAACTAGTGCGTCAGGGTGTATCTTACATCGAGGTGAAGGCGTCCTATTTCAATGACATGGCTCGGGATATTTTACGGGCGGAAAAAATGCTTGTCTCAAACGAAGAGGAGATAATGCGACTAAAGGAACGCCTTAAACAAGAGGACGAGGCAAAGGAAAATATTCACTTCATGTACCAGGACAGAATGAAAGAACAACGGGATAAGTTCCTCAAGGAGAAGGCAGCGCTTCGAGAAATGTATGAGGAGGACCAGGAGGTAACAGTAGGAGAACTCGAGGAGCAGATTCAAATCTACAAAGAGAAATACATGAAGTATAGGGTAAGTAAATTACGTAGTTTGTATTGTGTACAAATTGTCGTTTCTATTTATTTAATTTCTCTCATTTATGTTTGTCATGTTTTCTGGGTCACTCCTTATACGAAAAGCAGTATCCTTATTGAAGAAGTTTCCCCGTTCACGATATTAGCAGCTTACGTAATTCTTCAACAATACTGATGATGTGGTTTCCATCGTTCTGATCGGTGTACGAAGTTTTGTTAAAGCAACCGTGTGTGTCAACGCTAGCTTTTTGACCATAAGTTTTAAAAAATCTCTATACTATGGCCACTAAACTTGTTTATGGACTGCATGTACTGTGAATTAGGAAGGGTACGCAAAAACAAGTGAATACTTGAAGGAAAAATTATGGCCCGAACTGTACATGTTCCGCGACCGCTTTGGCTACTTACCGGAATTCCCTCCAGCCGACGGCTGTGACGACCGCGACGAAGAACAGCCACGACCCGAAAACACCATTAGCTATTGGCAGAACAAACTGCACGAAAAAGACGACGAACTTCGCGCAATGAGGAAAAACCTCAACCAAGCAGTTGAGGATGGAGCATGCTTACGTCGGGAGTTAGTTGAGTTGGAACAAGCGCGGGAAATCGCTGAGAACGACGCGAAAGACTCCAAAAAGGCCCTAAAAGAGCAAGCATCCCTCAACGAACAGCTCATGGACCAGACCAGAACCCTTCAAGCCGAGTTGACTGATAGGGAGACGCTGGTTGACCAGGGTGAGTGATATTGATAGAACTTCAGAGAGAACTTCGGGATTCGTGTAATATTCTAAATTCGGCCTATCAATATATGATCGCTTATAGTACAATCCGAGTTAGTTTGCAGTATATCGCGAAGTGCTAGTTTAATACGGTTCATTAACACTAAAAAACCTTAAGCGAAACAGAAAATAAACTGACGTTATCTGTCGAGTCGTGCTAGCAATTATACTCCCTATCAGTGGATAACGTAGTATAGCACGTAGTTACTATACAAACCAACAATGGACAAATAGTGGACAATTAGATTTATTTTTATGAATTTTAAGGGCAACTGGTTACAATGTTTTATGTGATTGCAGTTGCCGAATTGAAGAGAGCTGCACAGAATGCCGAGGAGAATCACGAGTGTTTTATAGTAGATACACGCATACAAATCGATAACCTACAAGCTGAACTGGAATCCCTTAAAGCCGAGCTTCGTGAGAAAGATAAGGACCTAGAAGAATCTGCCCTGAAGGAAGACCTGGCTTTGCAGAAGCTCAGTTCATTGCAAAAGGTTGTTGAGCGTTTAGAAGAACAAGTGGCATCGAAAAGTGGCGAAATTTCACTGCTGCAAGAAATAAATGCAGAAAAGGCCTTGCTTTCCGAACAGATAGTTACTCTAGAAAGTCAACTGAAGGCAGCACGCGAGTCACTGATATCCGCGCGGGCGGACATGGTAACCATGCAAGAAGAGTTAGAAGCGGTTTCTGAGCGAGAACAAGAGCTCGCCGACCGTGAAGCACAGGTTACAGTCAGGCTTCGTGAATTGAGAAGATCTAGGGCAGCCGACCAGCAGCACGTGAACGCTTTAGAAGAAATACGAGATTTGCGCGAGAGACTAAATCAGCAGCAAGAAGAGTTGGCTAAAGCGGCCGCCATAAGACAGGCACAGGTTAGTGCTTTAAGTCCTTCTTTTGTGGGGGAAGAGATATTTGAAGAGTATTTTTTGCTATCGGCTTTGCATGATTGGTCGAGTCCCAGAGTGTGAAGCTCTCCAACGGGCAGTAGTCAGGCATCTAGTAATTTTTGAATCGCTTCGTCCAACTTAACTACTCATCCGTTCTAACTACACGAATGGTCTCTGCCCCTTGCATTAATATTTTAGGTACTCCCTACATAGGAGTAAAAGAGCTTCGTTTTTTGTAGTACCGCATTCATATTGCGACCTCACGCAGCGTTTCATGCAAGGTATTTTAGTTGGACAAAGCCATTGTAGGCAGTGCTTCAAAACAAGACCCCCGCAGGACGCCGACCATTGTAGGGAATCACGTGGCAGATGATACGGGATTTAGATAGCTGAAAATTATTATGGCAAAGTATATCGGAACATTTCTATTCCATGGGCACCGAAGAAAAAGCTTACATGGATGCCTGTTCAATTAACTTTTCACGTCCAGCATTACTGTCAGAAAAGAGCTGTCCTTCGTCGTTGTTTTTCTGATTTGCTCTGCTTTTCTGAAAATCAGCTCGATTGCTCTAAGTACTGGGCGGTTTTCCGACAAATTATATTAATCTCCAAATACCGTTTTTCTTTTACATGTAGCTTCATTATACCTTCGAAGACCTTAGCAGAGTATTAACTGCGTACGATTTGACAACTTTTAGGGATAAGGGCTATCCTGAATTTTTTTTTATTGTACCGAAAATTTTGTTGGACCTACCAAACACCCAAGGAATTTTTGCCTGACCGGACACTCTATACTCTTTGTGCCTCGTGAATATTAATCAATTTTCCTACGATTTCTACGCACTGCTTGAAATATCCTTTAAGGGCCTGGTAGTTTCCGTAATTCGTTTTTCAGTCTCAACATGGCTCGGCAAAGTATTTTGTTTCCTGCTTGTCCACATGGCTCGGCAAAGTATTTTGTTTCCTGCTTGTCCTTAACTTAACTAGTTGATCAGTTATTCTCTTTATTTCTACTTCACTATTTTGCGTCTGGCTAACTTATGAGGGTACTTGAGAGGCCTTCCTCAATTTTTTCAAAAACTTCATACATTTATACGTGTTCATGCAAAAACCTGTATTCCAATAGGGCCGGTTTTGTTTTTTCTTGCTCTTTAATTCTCGTACGCTTTCGTTACAGTTTATCGTCTCATTCGCTCAATTTTTAGACTGTGCTGTATCATTGTTCTACCAGTATCTTGATACTAATGGGTTTTTTCGGAGGAGAGGGACCATCGTCACCTCGTAAGTCGGTTAGCTCTTATATAGTATTATAGGAACTACTATGCTAGGAGGAAATTCGAGCTTCTCCCTTCACCTTAACCCGTAAAATCTTTTCATTCCCATATATACTTACGCTTGTTTCAATTCTGTCGCCTATCTGCGATCTATGTATTAATGTAAACCCTTTCCTTTGCTACTTATGTGCGCAGACCCTGACGAATACTTTTTGCTTTGTCCTGGATTTCTACGTCAACCAATGTTTTTTGCGACTATATCTTCTAGTAACGTGTAACTCGTTTTACTACCTTTCTCTCGCAACTAATTTCATAATGTGGCTGCATGCTTCGATTGGCCATTTTTTATTGAAAAGGGCATATATTTTTTAGGTACGTCATAACTTGCGATTTGCCTTTTTACCCTCGACCGCTTATTGAACCTGCTTATCGAACCTAAGTGATTTTTGGATTCAGAGATGGCTCGCTATTACCTTTTCTCCCTCAACCGTGATTTTATCTATTTCTTCTGTTATTGCATTCATGTGACGCAATCTTGATGTGACTGGTGTTTTTATCTACATTTGCTCGTGGTTTATTTTGAGTTTTCGCAAACAAGCTTGCGTCCTTGTCGACTCGTGTATTTTCGCCGCCAGGGTTAATTTAAATTTAGTCTAAGTTTACCCATAGCACTTAACAAGCCTGTACGGTTTACGGTTGTTTGAACATACACGTAGCATACACGCAGGCATGTATGTTCGGACAACCGTCCAGTCAACGCCAAGCTTTGACGTTGTCCCGATCTTCCTTCTTTACAATTTTTTTTCTTTTTTTTTTATTATGCCTTTTACCATGAGAAGGGGCCGAATGGAACATTGAAGTAGGGTTTTGCGCGAGCTATCGCAACCCCCTTCGTGCCAGCCTATTTTCATTATCGTCAAACAAAGCCGTAGCGTACTGTCTTCGCTGGGCACCATCAATGTGTGCTGCGCATCTAGTATTGGGCCTTTGCACTTGTGTTTGGACACGTCCTTTTTAACATTAAAAAGTAACATTATTATAATTAATACCAATATCAAAATACTTGAATGAATTCAATGTTGTCGCAGTTTGTTTATTCGAGGTTTTTGAGGTCAACTCGAAACATTCATTTAGGCGTTTTAATAACAATTCTTTATTGTTAAATTATTACTGATAAAATTGTTACTTTTTGCTCATTTCAGAATGACGAGTTGGAGCAACTTCGAGAAAAGGCGGAGTCATTTGAAGCACTGGCGTTACAGCTGCAGAAAGTATCGGAAGAGAGTAGGGAGTTCCGAGACCGCGTTCGTTGTCTCGAGGGAGAGAAACGCCGACTCGACGACGAGGTTAAAAGAACTCGTGCTCTAGAAGTTGAAATTGAGTTTCTGACACACAAACTCGACAACCAGCAGCGCCGGGTATTGCGCGACTGTCCTCAAACCGAAAAGCCAAGAAGGCGTCGCTCACTTTCGGTGACCGACGCCGATAATGACTCTGCGAGCAGAACTCTAATAATAAAGGGTGTCCCCAAATCAGAAAAGCCACGACGACGACTAAGGTTAGGAGACGAAGAAAATATCTTGGACAAAACCCTTGACGGTACCATAAGGGACCTCTCGCCGCTCCCGACACCTTACCGCACCCGCTCTAACAGGAAAAAGTAAATGAAATTCAAAAAGCAGTAGATTTTAATACTAACAACATTCTAGTTCGGTTTGCCCGCCCTTTCTGTTGGTTTTGTAAGAGCCTATTGCATTATAGAAGTCTAAGCGGTGAGAACTTCAATGTTAATATGCCGTTTTTCTGTAAATAAAAACACCATATTAAGAGACTCTGTGATATTGACTGCACAAGTACTTGCAAATAAAGCCGTATTTAGTAGTATGGTTTTAAAGTATCTTCGATGCTTTTTACTACGTGCAAGTACCGCGTAAAGCGTTACAGAATTAATATCACAAAATGAGTGACTCTAATACTGTTCTTATCTATCGACTGGTATTAAAACAAAACACGTTAAGAATGCTTTATTTTGCGTAAAAAACATTAGTTTACCATTTTTCTTGCGCAAAAAAAATTATAAACTAAAGTATTCTTCATCCACTGCTAAAACCTTCAAATGAACATTTATTAAAAACTCGTTCACAAAAATCATGAAAATGTTTTGAAGGTATTTTTGATACCCACCGTTAACCGGGGAAAAAAGGTTCTATAGTCTGCCTTTTGTTTCTTTGACGCCAAGAGGGTTATTTTTGCTGTAGGAACATATCTTGTATTTTTATTCTGTTTGTCGAAGTCTATCAAGTGGCAGCAAAAAAAAATTGTAGACTACCCTTTGTTTTCGATGAAAAATTTTAATTCAGAACAAGTAAGAACTGTTATGTTCATATATATATATATATATATATTTATATATATATATATATTATATATATATATATATATATATAACACATTATTATAAAGATAGCTTTTTCACCGTCTTCGAAGCAAAAACTCGTTTTAAATATTTACAACTATTTATCATCGAAATTAACCAGCTAACAATAAAAGAGTAGATTTTTCTGAAACGGGATTTTTTGTAATCTAACAGTAACAAAGGAGAGCTGGATCGATATAATTTACATAGCGGTTCCAGATAGAAAACCTCACTTTACACTTTTTCTTAAAAACAAACTTCAATTGATCTTCTATATTTTGATCTTCTATATTGGATGTCTACTACTACTGTGTATTGAATAGGTTTATTAAGTTATTTTTCTTGAAATTAGTTAAAAATTTCTTGTTGTACTATTACGTATAAATTTTGACAAACTTAATTTCTTATCAGCATTCTGCCGAAAATCAACGAGTGCTCTAATAAAAATTTCTTTTTTAAGGTCTATCTTGTACCGAATTCTTTCGATATTAATAACGGTAAAGGAAATTATCGGAAATGTGACTATTGGTATGCTATGGTATCATAATTAAATTTTTCCCGATCTTCAGTGCTGCCCCCTTATAAGTAATGGCATTTTTTATTGCACAACAAATTATATCTAATCTCTGGTTAAAAATAACTCACGGGAACATCGAAAATTCTTTTCTAGCTTGTTGTGTAGCGCATGCCAATGATTGATACCCAAAGCTTATTCGCAAGTTCATTGCTTACACATAGCCAAATAATTTGTCTTTTCTTGTATTTCAGTTTTTTTTTTGCATGCATGTCTAAGGTTACGAACACGCCTGTGGTTATTCGGTAGATTTTCTTATCATAGATTTTTATTGCAAAGAAGTTTTAACGATTTATTTTTAATCTAATATTCATACCGTATCGCCGTTGCATTTCTGTCTTTTCTTTTTCATCGTTGTGCACGTGATAACTTTATTCTAACGTTGCCGGGTTCTTTGACACGATTGCCATTTCCACCACGGTATCGCTTCAGTAACATCAGAAGTTTATGGTTTTAGAGGTTTACCTTGTGCCTACTGGCTGATTAGGATTTAGACCTAACCAAGACGTCGGCTACACCACAGCACCCATCGTACATGGCTTTTTCATAGGATGCAATGCATTTCGAAAAGTAATATTTGGCATATATTGTGTTAGCCTAGTATTATTTATGAAGCAAACAAAGATAGAAAATATTTAATGTAAATCCTCTTTCTGTTTTAATACCATAAATTTCCATAAGCCTTAGACAGGCGCATGCTCACATCCAGCAGATCAGTTAACTAAGCTAAACAAGCAACGTTATTCGAACAGAGCTCTGTAACGTAACTCAGCGCGGATCTTATGCTTTTTTCTTATATCTTGATATGAACGTTTAAGTAGTATGAGAAAAAGCACCCTATCCATAGAAAATCTGTATAGCTAACAGGCTTCCGATATCGTTAAGATAGCCTCACATCGTTTGAGGCCCGGTAGACTGACAAAGGTCAGGGTTAAAATATCAGAACTAGCAATTTCAAGTTCTGTGTTTATCGGGAAAACTATAATTAGGACACTTTAAAATGAATTATAATGTAACATTCTCTATTTGGCGCTAACGTTTATCGGCAATACGAGAAGCCTTATAACTTAAAAGAAGTTACCAGTTAGTGCAAGTGGTCGGCGCTAAACAAATAACTCCGTAACATTAGCAACAAGTATTAAGAAAAATAATATAGTTCCATGTTGGAAGTAGAACTGAGCTGCTCTTCATTGACCTCGTCCATATCAACTAAGTAGATTCCGAATTGTATTACATTATGTTATAGTAAACTTGGCGATGCAGTTCTCTATCAAATCTAAGATAGAAATATTTTAGATGCCTATGTAAATCAAGTCTAACCAGAGTAAAATTTTGGCTTTTTAGAGCTCAATACTTGGATCACTGGCGATATCTTTTCATTTACCCATATTTCGGTGCAGCTACGACATTAACTACCCGTTCAACTTAGGAGATAGGATTAACCGAATGGCCGAAGCCTGTCGACGTGCAGCAAGTTAACACACAGAAATAACAGAACATTGTCGCATGATTATTAAAGCTTGTTGCATAGTCCGGATGCCCAACGCTCATGTGCTTGCTCATTCTGGCTAGTTAGTTCATCAGGACTAAATGACACAAACTAACTAATATACATATTCATCCCTTTAGCAGCCGGATTCCTCTATTGAGCCGTCATGTTGTTCGAACGCGCGTAGTTTAGGCGCTCGAAATGTACGCAAATTTTCTATAGACAGGAAATACGCACATCAATGTACGGTTAATGATACTGCATCACCGTGATAAGATCTTAATAATAACTAGAATCTATTAAGTGTTTCCTCTTTAAAAAGAAAGGATAGGTGCATTAGGTTGCAATATTACGCTAGTAGAAGCTATGAGAAAAAGAAAAACAATAAATGCCTAACTGTCATATGTAACCATATTATCATGTTTTGCTTGTAGGCAGCTATAATGTATCCGGCATGTTCAAGAATGGATTTATACTAACGTTGAGCTATAGAGAAATGAGCGAATATCTGACCTGTGAGCAACTTTGTGCCGCTCCTTTGGGTCGCAGAAGTTGAGAGAAGAAAGCAGAGAAGGCCGAAATCGACCGCAAAACGGGCTCGAATTGACCCAGTTAATAAGCTGAAAGGTGAATTATTTTTTACTCACGAAGTTGAATAAGGTCCACTGATTGTATGTGCATATTATTATGGAAACGCGTTAGATGTGAAAAACACGACTCTGACACAACAAATATTTTCGATGCTAAATGTGTTTACAATTTCTGTTATTATATTTCTAAGTTGCCAGTATTATAAGTAAATTAAAGTAGATTAAACATCAGCTCTTATCTCAATGGCCTGTCGAATTATTCGACATTGTTTTTCTAATTGTAATCGATTTGATCGCACGAGGCCGGGCTTTTGCTCCGCGACCTCATTGCTTTATCACATTTAATTACTATTCTACTACCCCACATGCAGCCACACTGAAGAAAATCCACAAAGTTGTTCGGCACGTGGCACCGTTCCAACATTGCCCTTCGAAACTAGTTATTTTAACTGAAAAATTGTATAGCTCAGTTATTGGTTTGCAACTTCTTATTTTGTCATGTAGATAAAGATGACATTACATGATGATATTGGACAGAAGACGAGAACGCTCATACTTTACCGTTTAATATGTGTTCCCCGTAGTATCCGGGTGGTAAGATTAATGCGTCATTTTTAAAAAATTATTAGTTTAATTTAGAATAAGTTGCAAAACGGTGCATGCCAATAACTTTAAGTAAAAATTGCCTATATTTGTGAGAACGATCACGTGTCGATCGATGGATTGAGGATCGATGTGAGATTTCTATCTCTTCGCTTTAGAATGCTTTTTATGGGTATATTAAAAATGACGATAATGATATATGTTTCAGGTTTATTAAAGTATGCTAGAAAATCAAAAACAATACTCCTAAAGTAATATATATGCAGTACTAGGTTCCAACCCTTAAATAAGCGTTTCAAACAGATACCTATGTAAAATTTGACATTCAGGAACATGAATGGTTTTGACATTAAATTCATTTACTTTCAATTTACTTTTTCAATAGAGCTTAATAAATGGGCATTATCAGAGTTTACGACGTTTTTTCGTTAGTAAAGGGTACCTAAGGATCTAAATTTTCCGAATTTTATTTTTTGGTGATGTGATTATAATTGCTTTAAGCTGGTAAGGATCTATTCTGTGCGAACTTTATTGGACAGAAATCCACTAGCTACAAATAGATCATGACATACTATTTGTCGACCTGTGTTCTATTATTATATGTCTACTACAGTTCTGTGCGCTTATTAACGAGGGCAGAGATTGCAACATACGTAAAAAAAGAACCAAGATTAGCCAGTTAATAAGTTAAAAAAAAGGTTCAATTTTCTTATAATTTAGGCAGCTAAAACATGTATAAATTAGTTTGCAGAAAGTTCAATCCATTTCTACTCGTAAGCGCTTCTTTAACTCACAATACAGGCGATTTAATTTATATAGGCACATTAGTTATTTATATTTACT